CAATTTTTGACGTCTCATCTCAATTTAAATTATATTTATATTGTTAACAACTTCACTTAAAAATACATTGCCCCAAAAGTGTACACATACAAAAAATGGCCATATATATATTTTATATGAAATGTTTAATTATCACATTTTCAATCTAAATATATTTATATTTCTACATTTTGCACTTACCCAAAGTGTATTTTAAGATTAGAAATGTATTTTCTTGCACTTTTTGAAATATATTTTAGCATTGGATGGTTTAAACAAAATATATATTTCCTTAAGCTGCATTGTTTACAACATATATTTAAAAAATGCCAAAAATATATAGCTAATATAAATTTTAAAATACATTTACTTTATTTTGATTACTTGTTTTTTTATTCTATTTTTTTTTTTTTTAATTTATAATTATTTTAAAAATATTTACATATAGTTGTACTAAAGGAAAAAGTGTCTCAAACTCTCCTCATAGGAGCATCAACTGCAGGACTTTGACCAAAAATGTCACTGTTAGAAGAACTTCACTGAAGGCTGAGATTCATAATAAAAGCAATGAATCGAGTGCTTGAGAGCATGTGACACTAAACGATCCAAGCCTTACAATATTATCTTCTGGTAAAAGAAGTCATTTGATGATAAAATGTCAAAAAGCACATTTAAACCCAACTTGGACTAAGGTCGTTTAAGCATTGAAAACAAACTATACTTTTCGACCGTCTTGGATCGGCTGAGGAATTCTGGCACGATAAAAATGCCAAGCAGATTTGGAAAGGAACTGCTGTAATAAACACGACGAGCGGCTCTGATTTCACTGAAAACATGAAGAGACGCCGCTCAACATTTGCTTAAGCGTTTGAACGAGTGCTGCAAACTTTTAAAGACAGCTTGAGTTTGATAAGAACCCTTGGAGTCCCTCCTTAGCCTGAGACTAAATTTTCCCAATACTTCCCATCCTCAGTGACAAAAGCGTCTTTGTGTGTGTGAAGGCCTCTGGTGCAGGTGCTCCAGACTAATGACTATCAATACAGGTCATGCACACACAAACCAATCCCTCGTCCTTCTCCCTTTCCAAACGTCCTCCATTCCTCTCCTCAAATCACCCGGCCGCAGGGCACTACTTAGGGAGCGACTGATGGATTAGGTGGTTTCTATGGAGATGAAGGTGGTTTGGCCAGATCGTGAGGATTTGATTAGGACTGTTGACCCAAATGATTCAATTTAGCCGAAGAGGCAAATCAAATGGTTTGCGACTAATTGATGAGATTGGCCTTTCACTGGAGAGAGTAGGAGTGTAATTGAGGACCTGACTGAAGACATGAAGACGCTCGTGGTTTGCTTTCGAAAGGCCACCGCTGTGCGAGCCGAGCTGATCGGTTAACCGCTCGGGGAAAGAAAAATATGGGTTCTTGGAGAGCTCTTCTGTTCAAGAAACACCAAAACCAAGCGTTAAAGTCAATGTGAAATCAATATAGACCCCATTTTTGGAAATGACTTTAAAGGGTTAGTTCACCCAAAAATGAAAATTCTGTCATTAATTACTCGCCCTCGTGTTGTTCGAAACCCGTAAGACCTTCGTTCATCTTCGGAACACAAACAAAGTTATTTTTGATTAAATCTGAGGGCTCTCTGACTCTCCAATAGACAGCAAGGTAACTACCACGATCAAGGTCCAGAAAAGTACCAAGATGATCGACAAAGTAGACCGTGTGACATCAGTGGTTCAACTGTAAAGTTACGAAGCTACGAGAATACTTTTTTGCACAAAGAAAACAAAAATAACGACTTTATTCCACATTTTCGTCTCTACTGCATCACTTGTGGATGCGCGTTCACGACAGCGTGTGAATAAAGTCGTAATTTTTGTTTTCATATCTCATATTTCATCAAAAATATCTTAAATTGTGTTCCAAAGATGAACGAAGGTCTTACGGGTTTCGAACAACACGAGGGTGAGTAATTAATGACAGAATTTTCATTTTTGGGTGAACTAACCCTTTAAGAGAACAGAAACGCAAACACATACTATCAATGACCAATTAGACTGTTTACCTTCACAGGACAGACACACTCCTCAGCTCTTCAAAGCCTGTCAGACAACACCTCTATAAATGCCACTTTAATTAGGAAGAATGGAAGAATATAACGAGAGAATGGTCATACCTCATAAAGACCTTGTGAAGTATATTATGTTTATAGCATAAAGTGACTTTGATCAACAACATTTATTTGTTACTAGTGAGTATTACTGTAGTGAAAAACTACTGTAATGAAAAAATGAAATATTTGACGTTAAAATGCTTTTTCTTTAAAGCATTGAATATTCACAGAAGATACGAATATAAAGTAGAAAACTATATTGAGAAATTGGTCCTCATTTGCATATAGCTGTACTATCCTAAATGTATGTAAATCACTGATAATGGGAAAGTACATACTTTTAAAATCGCAATGAAACGGTAGTAAAAAAAAAAAAATTCTCTTTTGATTTTCACGTACATCACATGTGACGTACAGAGTTTAATGGATTATGGGGGGAAAACGTATGACAGGGACTAGCATCCACTGACAATATGGATATAAATAAAATTGTTTACAAATAGATTATAACATAAATAGATTTATAACATGCACTCAGAATAATGTGAATAAAACAGAGTATTGGAGAACATTTTACAAGATACATTTTTTTTTTTTGGTCATTATTTAGCAATTTCAGAGTGAAAACTGTTTGTACACAAAATGTTTTTTTTTTCAGTGTACAATTTAGCAATATAAAAATAAATAAATAGCATCTCAAGTTGTGGAACTTGTTGAGGAGAGGTGTGAAATTACTTAATCACTAATCAAACAAAGTAACTAAATATAGATAGAACAACTAAGGGCAACCTAGTATGAGGTTAGAACTCTTTCATTTTTACAAATAAATATTGTGATTAAATGTACAGATTCACAAAAATTAAACACAGATCCACAGATACAAGTTAGAAGTTTCACAAAAAGTACATTTAAATTCACAAATACAGTAAATAAATAAAATTACATTTGATTAAAAAAAGTAACAAATATATTTTTGTTACACTTAATAACATGCTTTTGTGGATTTAACTCATTTTTAATGTTCTTTATTTATTTATTTATTTATTTTTGTAGCTCATAATATAATTATTTGGAAATATGAAATCATTTTATTCCACATTTTCGTCTCTACTGCATCATTTGTGGATGCGCGTTCACGACAGCGTGTGAATAAAGTCGTTATTTTTGTTTTCATATCTCATATTTCATCAAAAATATCTTAAATTGTGTTCCAAAGATGAACGAAGGTCTTACGGGTTTCGAACAACACGAGGGTGAGTAATTAATGACAGAATTTTCATTTTTGGGTGAACTAACCCTTTAATCTTTCAATTGAAAAACGTGACGTTTCTCCATATAATGGAAGTTTAATAAAAATTATTATATGTGTTTACAGATATATTTTTAAATGTATTTCAAAATATAATGCTAATGTATATTTTAAATACATTTCATATGTTAGCATTATAATATAAAAAAGCTATATATCTATATCTAAATGTAGTTATAATATTCAAAATATATTTAAAAAATACTTTTTGTATTTAGCCAAAATATATTTTATTATCAGAAATTTATTTTTTCCACATTTAATATTTCATATAAATACAGGTAAATACATAAATATGTTTTGATATTTTGAAGTTTTAGTTACTTATATTTCCAACATTTACCCAAAATGTATTTTAAGATTGGAAACTTTTTTTTTTGTTGACATTTTGTAATATATTTTAGCATTTGAAGGTTTAAAAAAAAAAAAAAAAAAGTATATTATACTTATTTATTTATTATTCATACAGTATATTATTGTACTGTTTATTAATATTTTGAATTAGCTTTTATTTTTATATTTTTAATTTTATTTGTAATTTAATTTAATTTTATTATTATTTTTTTGTTTTGTTTTAATAATGCTATTATGTGCTGTTGTTACTATTATTACTTTTATATTTTATTGTTTTAATTTCTTTTTATTTCAGTTTGGAAGCCTTCAGTTTGCCGACTTTGAGAAGTTCAAGTGTATAAATTACACCGCTCTTGTCCTTAATCTGTGTTTTATCAAAAAGCGCCTGCTAATTCATCCTCTGTTGTGCTAATGAGGTGAATCATGCGACACTCGAAGGTTACTAATCGCTTTTTCGAGTCTCACTTAATTCACAAAGGAAACTGTCACATTACATCTGTTGTCAATTAAATAGCCGCTCTCAACTTTGATCGTGAACTCGGTGTAAGCGGAGACGGTTCTTCCACGCAGATATGACGTGAATTATTGACGAAGCGTTTCATCGTGCTGTAATGAGAATCTTCTGAGGCGCCGCCAACTGCTTTTTCCAATGGAATCTCCCTGTCAGCCAATCAGATGCTTCCATTCAGCCGCCGTTTCCACTCTCGGGTTGCTCATTGGGCAAGACAGCTGTCAATCATCTTATCAGGTGGAAAATCAGGTGGATAATCATGACACTAATTGAGTGATGGCTTGCTTTGGTTTCACCACTAAACATTGTGGATCAAGCTCAAGGTAAGAATTAAAACTAAACTAAGAATTGAAAACAAATGACCTTTTTTTGTAGTTGTTTTCACACCAATTTAACATTCAAAAACAAGCCCCCTCATAAAAAAAATCATATATATTTTTACATATAATTGCTAATATATTGTAAAATATATTTACAAACATACATTTTAGTTGATATTTTTTTTCTTACTTTATTTTCACACGAAATATTTATATTGTTCAAAATATATTAAAAAAAAATGCATTTTGCATTTACCAAAAATTTATTTTAAGATTAAAAATGTATTTTCTTGCATATTTTGTAGTACATTTTAGCATATTGAAGGCTTTGAAATATATTTTCAATATGAAAAATTAATTGCCTTAAGCTGCACGGTTTACAACATATATTTAGCATATATTTTGGCCATAAAAAATATTTTATATGTTAAAATAAAATAAAAATAAAATAATTTTGGTCAGAGAAAAAAAAATATAAAAATGATATTTCCATTTCCACTTTTCAGGCCTGAAAATAAATAAATAAATAAATAAATACATTCCAGGTTTAATTCCAAACTAATTTCAAACTTAGGGAAGGGGATGTAAAAACCCAAAGTGCACCGTCACTGTTGTGGATTCCCAACCTTTATTCTTGCCCCCCTCATCCTATCGTTTAATGTCGTCCCACAGGGGGTCTCTGTCATGGAAATCCACCCCGCTGCCAGCGGGACCCCACTGAAACTTTCATAAGCGTTCAGGTACAATAGATATATGAAATATTCATGTGTTCAGTGACAGACATCAGAGAGACTGTCCTGTGATTCAAACACACGAGCACGGAGAACACATCAACCTCCATCAGACAGAAGCTGATCACAATCCAGTCGATGTACTGATACAGAAATCACAATGATCAATAATGATTAGTGCTAAGGCAAGCATCACTATTATTATTACTCATGCTTAAAGCAATGGTTCACTTAAAAATTAGAATTTTGTCATAATTTACTCCATTTATGCCATTAGAAAGTTTGAACAAAAGTGAATTGACACATGAAACATATGATATTATTGCTAATGTTATACCGCTTTGCCACCCTTAAGAAATATATTATGTATATAATTATATATATAAAAAAAGTATATAATTTATTATTATTAAATTTAGTTTTGTATAAATACATCATATATATGTATGTGTACATATATATAATTCTAGAATTAATATACATATACATACACACAAACATGTATTACTGTATAGTACTTTTAACAAAAAATAAAATCAAGTGGTGACTGATATTGATACTAATATAGATATTATGCATCTCAATTACTGTTGACATCTGAAGACTATTTTAACATCTACAGGGTTAATTTTCTTCATGCAAAATGTTTTATTTCATGCAAATTTTGACCTACATATTTCTTGACAGTTTTCATGAAATCCACCCTGTAGCATGTAAATCCTGCCCTACTGTGTAGATATTAGGGCTGTCAAAATGGCTGAAAATCTCATTTCGAATTTTGTACTTAAATATGATCAATATTCAAATTTAAAAGGCATAATTTCAGTTATGGGGAAAAAAGCTTTTGGCTTCTCTCTTGAGGCCACAAGAGGGCGCATCGAGCAAAATATTACTAATGCACGTTTCTTCAAAGCAATAAAATAACACGACTATCTTTGAAAAAAGTGCATAATGTTTAAATTGATGTTTATAAACCATATATAATTAAGTTGCTTAAACAATTAGAAACAAAACCGCATCATGCATGTATGTATAGTTTAATACAAAGGACCGAAAACCAATCACAAAGAGTACTTT